CGACAAATGAACCGGCTACCTTAGAACTGCATGCAAGCGTGAGCACAAACGTATTCGGAGATCAATTTCTAATTAATATGAGAGACGTAACGTACCTACTAATAGAGGCATCATTCCAAGTTAAAGTTAAGATATTATCATCATATTAAGTTGCGAAAAGATGGTAGTTTCTGTTAACTGCAAGTCGTAATATCAGTAGTTTTAAAATATTTTAGTGCACTGTATAAAAATAGATAAAAGACTCTGTAGCTCAGAAACATTATTAAACTTAAATAAAACATAAATTTTAGATAGCCAACATGAAAAATATCCCGTCTACTCGTCGCTCCAATAAAAAAAAAACATTAAAAAATAAAGAAAAACCATAAAAGCAGCCGTCTTGCGATGCGTTATCATTTTTATATGTTCACCCCCCTCTCAACCCTTTGCACACCCCTCCACCCCCTAGATGCAAGCACACACTCACACAACTTCCTATAAATGGGTTAAAGAAAAATGTGTCTACCTGAAAACGTACGATGCATGAGTTTTTTTTTATTCTTTTTACATTTTCTTTGCTATCCGCGATTCTCATATCGGCGATATAAAACTGAAAAATACATTTCTTATAGACATGCCAATATAACATATATGTACACAACAATAGCGGCGAAAATCGTATCAACGCTCCCGAAAAAACAGAGCACTCATACACGAATAGTTTGCTCACATACACACGGAGCCGCGCCGTTTAGAAAAAAAATAAAATGCACACATATAAATTGCATGCAGCTCGAAAGGGATGCACTCAGAGTCATAAAACACTCACACAGGCACGCGATCTATAGCACACATACCGCGGCGCCTCAACTTGGATGCACACATACTCATATCCCTGTATCTATACACCCACACACGGCCCAACTTGAAGAAAACCTTCTATGTGTTGCGAAAATGCTTTTCCTTGCAGCAACCTCACGGGAAGAGTTCCATAGCGAATACCTCGCGGTAAAGACTGCTCGTTCTCTAAAATTTTAAATTTTAAAAGAAAAATATTTTTAAAAGAAAAGAAATTCTAAACATTAAACGATAGATAACGTTTTTAGTTTTAAAATTAATCGATCAGACATGCCGGGAGTTTTAAAAAGAAATTCTTCACCCGTTTCACTTCTAAAAAACGTTTTGAAAATTCGAAAAATGTGTCAAACAGAGCGCGCGAAATAAAAAAAGATTGTCGTTCGCGCCTTGCGTTTAGTGCCCACAATTCGGTAATAACAGATTAAATTCTTAATTGAAACTTGGATTACGCTAGTTGACTTTTTAATGTCCAAAGACACGTGGGACTTGCATTAGTGATGTTAATGTGTTTGTTAATGAGTGTGTCTATGTGTGAGTAAGGACCGTCTGTGTGTAACGATGGCGGTCTGCGTGTTGTAGACAAAAAAAAACGCGATATGCAAGTGTTGTAAAAATTAATAATTTCGATAATTTGTAGTTCAGATATTTGTGTTGTTTGTCATCTGTGTTAATGATCGTTTCGTATAACAGCAAAACGGTTCGTGTTATTAACTTGAAAAGAACAAAGAAATTTCTTGATTAATTTATTGATGATATGCTTGCATTTTATGATCTCAAGAAATGAATAAACTGACGTGCATATACGTTTATGAATAAAATTTATTTTTAATATTTATTTAATAGTGTTTAATTTTTTATATTCATTTAACTAACGAAAAGATATTTATAGCTTTTTTTATTTGACAAGACTATATTTTCTATATTTGAAAGAATGAAATTTTATTTTGTATACCTACCTAAAAATCGGCACATTAATGAAAAAAAAATGTTACTAGACGAACTAAAAATATTAAGTAAATTATTTTGTTCGATTACATATTTAATAAGCCATTCTAATTAGTATTTTGTTGCATTAAAAGCTATATTTGTTTGCAGTGACTTCAAGTGAATCGAGGTTGATAAGAAAAAGGTTGTAAGTCACATTAATAGTTAGTATCGCAAGGTCAAGGGCATTTTTTACGTTATGTCGTTTCAGTTTTATGGGTCAGATAACTATACTGTCAGCCATTGTTTTTGCTTCTATGTGGTACTTCATTGTGTGATGTTCATCGTCCATTTCTATGATGTCACCTGCCTCCCTCTGACCTTTGCGTAATAATTTCTTGTCCTTCCGTTCTAATAAGTCGCATTCTTAGTGGTTTTTTTCTATATGTACTAATAATATTTCAATAATTACGTACATACATGTACGGGAGCTGATGCGCTAAGCCCGAGATCATTGGTTCGATTTCCACCTAGGGCAAGTCATTGTCATGTGTCTGGGTGTAATTTTTCTTCTAGTATCTCATCATCATCAATAACTGTTAGTAGTCCACTGCTTTTCACAGACACCTTAGAAAGAAGGTTTTGGCTTACTATAAGACGTTGGCCAGACGGGTTGGTATAGGGTTTGTGTCAAGTTTTCCTTCTCTTTGCAGTGCTGCCAGCTCCATCCAGCGTAGCTTACTCCCTTTATGGGTTTCTAGTTCAGTACAGCTTTTAGAATATATACGTGTTCAACTTTCTCTTTGTCGTTCTAGTTAGAATTTCTGACAAGCCTGCTTGTATCCAATTCCAAATCTTATAAGAGATGGTGGGTAAAGGCCAACCATGCGTATAATAGAATATTTTTGAAAGACGTTTAAACTAAAAGCATATGTAGAAAACCTACCGACATCTTATATTCAAATAGTCATTTGTTATTAATCTCTTCCTGTTTTTGCTGTTTGCTATTTTATCCAGATTTTGCTTTCAGCGCCAATTGTGTCTGTCCATCTCACTCCTCAGAAGTGTCCTAAATCTGACGCCATTCGTTATCATCATCCTCTTTAAAATGGTTTTTTTTTTGTTAGCATGTCATTAGACGTTTAATGTGAAATTTGTGTTATGGCATTTTTGTAATTCTTATATTTCTTTATATTCTTATATTTATTATTTCTTATATATTCTGATTATAATTCGGTTTTCTTTAGAGAGTATTTTTTTCAAAATTTAAAACTTTATGACAAATCAATATCTAGCTTAGTTCGCTTAGTTTTCTTGTTTCATTATATCCCCATTATTAATATATGTAAATTATATGCCCTATATTTTAGCCCTAAATAGTAATTGTCTCTAATACAAAGATTCAACTATTGTTGTCTATGTTTAAAAAAAACATTTCTAAAGAAACCTCACTTTAAAAGTTTTAAAGCACAAATCTCAAGCTTCTAAAACTAGGTTTATAGGTTACGCTACCTGACCTAGGGTTTCCACGTACTTAGGAATATTTAAAGGACATAAATTTGTACTCTAAGTAGTTTTCTTAACCTTTCTTCAAATATGGGCACTATGGTTTAAGTGGTTGCCTCGCCACCACGCCGATTTCTTTCTCTCGCGGGAAAAAAATTGTGCGTTCCTTAAATACATTCCAGTGTCTGGGAGTGTCTGTACCCACCGTTCCGTATGCGGTTCCAAAATCATAATAAATACAAAAATCGTATTTAAAGAAAAAAAATTAAAGAAAATACCATAGCATAAAAACCATACTTGCAATACCATATTGGCATCCAAGTAAAGAGATCTATCTATATGATTAATCAAATTTCAATTTAAATTATATTAATGAAAATTAAACTCCCTCATCTTCTTTTACTTAAGATTATGTCTCTCTTCTCGTCATCAGCTACCGAAAGAACACTTCTTTCCTGTCTTTTTTTCTCCATCCTTTCAAACTCTTATCTATAGCTGTTTTTAAACACATTCATAAAGTATATTTTTGCTTAAAGAACAAAGGTGCTGGAAATAACTTAAATTTAGTCAAATTCCCACTTGAAGAGCAGACAAAACAATATCGATAAATATCAAAATTCTAAAATTAAGTTATGTCAGTGTCACAGTCTGACCTAAGTCTATTTAAAGTCAGTACTAACCTGGTTCTTGATCATTTTAAAAATGGACCTAAAATAGATTTGCCGACCCAATGACGAGAAATCTGCAGAAATTATTTTTGTACCAATGACACAGATTAAATTTGAAACTGGGTTAGTGAATTTTAATTATTGCAATCTGTGCAGTATATATTAAGACTGTGTCTATTTGTTAGATGAAGCAACGACAACATATCTATTAGTATTTATACATCATCACATCATCATCAACAGCCTATACTAGTCCACTGCTGGACATAGGCCTCTCCTTAGAAAGGAGGTTTTGGCCTACTATACCACGCTGGCCAGACGGGTTGGTATAGGGTTTGTTTCAAGTTTTCCTTCTCTTTGCAGTGCTGTTCTTCTGCTTAGTTTGCTCCCTTAGTCGGCTCTTACGACACCCACGGGATGAATTGGGGTGGTGACAATTTGTATTCTTAATCCGTCACCACACGGATTATATTATATTATTTATATAATGTATAGTATATATAGTATTTATATAATGGAATAATATACAACTCAAAACAAAATAATAATGGAACAATATTAAAATCAAAAATTAACAACTAAACTAAACTTAGCGAACCGAATATAAAGAAATGACTGTGTAGATTCAAATACTTTGCATAAAACAATTTTCATATGTTTTTAATAAGTATAGATTACACGGCAGTTTTGTTTCTAGGACTGAAATCGCGACTGTTGGAAATTAAACATAACTTTCTAACTAGATTGTTTTTATATCTTTTTATATATAAAATATCAGTTTTACATAAAAAAAAATCTAATAAGAAAATCGATCAAAAACCAAAAAGACTAATTAACACTTGAATAAAAAAAAACTAAGAAACGGGTGAAGAATATCCATCATCAAATCAAAATATAAACGAGCTCTAACTAACTTCTAGTTTCTGTCCAGGCACCTCCTACCCAACGATAGTTCCTATAAATACCTACATAATTACGAAGATATATTTATTTTTATTTTGAAATATTATATAATAGACATTAGTGTAAAATAGTGATATATTTATAAGTGAAATAGTGCCAAGTATGTCAGTGACTTTGACGAATCCCAACTTATTTATGACAAACCCTATAAACCTACAAATGAAGAGGGAATTCGACGAATTTACCACTGACGAAAACAAGATGGATCAAGTCGATTGTAATAATTCCAGTGATGGGAATTCTGAAAGTAGTGACTTAGAAAATAATGGTCCAAACGAAGATACAACAACAGCTCTGGATTACACAGAAAACGCACTCTCTATGAATCCAGTAGCTGACTTTATAAAGAAAGAATTTCTCCCAGACCTTGATTTCAGTAACCCATTTAGAAATCAAAGCTTGGGTTTTAAAAATGGATTCCAGAATGCCCCATTTCTGCTTCCGACCCAACTTTATAAAAGTTTCCTAGCAAATCTTGGAAAGAGAAGAAGGAATATGACTGACTGCTATTCTCTTTATTCACGGAATATGCTGTTTTCCAATGGATTTGGATTAGAAGCGTCTGACGATGAAGCTAATGCTGATAGAGTTACTGATTCTCCTGATGAGGTAATAAGTTTTAAGAATATAAGACCCAAGCTCAAGATATTTAGTTAATAATTTGTACTCGTTAATAGCACTATTATTTGTAATGCCTTTATAACTTAGATAAAATAGAGGGTGGAAATATATCTACCCCGTGTCGTTAAACGCTTATTGGTTATGCGCCATCACCATTGGGAAAAATGCAGGAAAATGTTCTGATCTTTGCCCACAAAATTGAGGTTGTATGATAGCCAGTCTTACCTGTCATGAAATTGTTTTGAAATGCTTACATTACCAAGAAAGGGTAAGAAAGGGTAATAAAGGGTAAGGAAAAAGGATACGACTGTAAGAGTTGAGATAGGTCTTGGATGGAAACTGCAGTAATTCGCAGAAATCAAGTTTGCGTATTAGTATACATTCTATTCTGTAATAGGAGACGCGAAATACCACGGATATCGTTTGCCATTGCATTGGCTATTCGTATGTTCTACAAAAACGTTATTATTTTAATGATGTTCTTCTTGGTGTTTTTTTGTGCACCAAAACTCTTTAAGTCTTTATGTAAGGAGACTTCAGCAGTATTCCACACAGGACCACACTTTAAACATGCGTTATATTGTAATACCTTAGAAAATCTATGACACCAATTCAATCGGTAAGTCTGATAGGGTTTTTAATCCACGTTGAAATGGACCGGTCAAGTTTTAAAGGTCATCAGACTCTGGACATAGTCATGCCGTATCATGTAAAATGCGATCTGGTTGGAATTACCAACTAATGTTGGAAATAAAAAAGTTTCCAATGTCTTATAAGAATCTTCTGTATAGTATTTTTCTTATTCTGAGACTCTTATTGGACTTCTGTTTTAGAGAACTAAATTTACTAATACAGGAAACTCATTCCAGTTTTAATTTGAATCTACAGAAGATCCCGAATCTTCTGTAGATTCAAATTCTAGAAGTCTTATACTTCTAGAAGTATAAGATCAGACCTCAACATAGTAGAGAGTTTCGTTATTCTTAACAGTTAACTACACAATAATTGTGTTTGTTTCAGAAGGCGGGTGCATCGTCAGCGTTCGTTTGGAGTGGTGGGGGGGTCACAGGTGGTGGAGGGCAGGATCAGGCAGCCGCACAGCCCGCCGCCGTGCCGACAGGTAATATGTTCTTTTGTTGTTAGAGTGAAGATAACATTTAGAGTGGCTTTAGATTTTGACCAAAGTTGTAGATGAGATGATGATGATGAGCTGGGTCAAACCAATAGCTTATGAAAGATTGAAACTCAAGATTATGAGTGGTCAAGCTTAACTCAGCCAACATACTTTAAAGTTGAAAATAATATAAGCAGTCTTTCCAGCAGTTTCTTCCATTTATGTAAAAAATGTTTCAGTTTGGTCTTCAGTGATTTTTAGGGCAAGTGGTTATCGGTACGCATAAATGGTGTAATTTGAGCTAAGTTAAGCTAAGTTCCATTGTAGTCTTCTCACATTAAGGTACTGTCAATGGACCTTCTTGAGACTAGACTTTTGACTAAAATATAATTGAAAAATTAATTTAGTGAATTTGGCTGAAACCGAATTTTCATTCTATGGATGGGAGTCTATTCCTAACATTCGAGACCCCTCTGTGTCTCGGAGAGTACAGTATGAGAGTAAGTTTTAGGTCTCGGTCATACAATCATCAGTGGCAATTGTTACGGGTAGTTGTAAATGTCCTAAAAATTCGACAACAGACGATCTATAGAACTTCGATATCGCCTAGTATGTGGGTTGTGGAACTCTGATGACAGTAGCTCCACGTAAATAGTCGAATACTAAAGCCGACCCTAATCTAGTTAGGGAAAAGGCTCCGAAGATAATGAGACAGTTTAACTACGCTTAGAACTTGACAAGGATTTCGAATATTCTCCTTGTTTATTGTTTTAGACGTGAGGTACGCAAGAACACTTGAAGTGAATTGTGAGTCCTAAATCCTAAAGATTGTAAGCAATGTTATAACTGAGGTTTATTTCAGGCACGTCAGGCGGCGGCGGCGCCCAAGGTCTAGTGCACTGGATGTCGGTGATGGCGGAGCATATGGGAGGGGGACACCACGACCCCTCCCATTACGCGCTGCCTCCATGGAACAATGGCGGAGTTGATGTAAGTCTTATATTACTTATTTGTAAAATATTAATATTATAAAAATTAAAAAAGGGGCTTCATACATATGAGTATCATATCAGTACTTTTCATCCAGAAAAATTTAGGGAATATAACAAAAAAAAACTGGCGAGCTAAGTCGCTGGCATAAGCTTTTACCAATATTATACAGAGGTATAGTTGTGAGTTTGTATGTTCCGCGTGATCTCCGGTTCTACTGATCCGATTTTGAAAATTCTTTTACTGTTAGAAAGGTATATTATCCGTGAGTGCAATAGACTATTTTTTGTATATTGCACCCGTGCGAAGTCTGGGCGGATGCCTAGTTATAAATATTGTTAGAACTGTGCATACCACTTGCAAAGATTACCATTATTAAGAGATTTAGAGGTTTTAATTTTCAAGGAGCAAGGCCTTTAAAACAAAACTACTACAGAGGGTCAAGTGCGAGTTTATTTCACATAATAATATACAAATAAATAAAATTGGAGTGTCTGTTTGTAATATTAAAATAACCGCTTTTTACTAAATGCATATGTATGTTTACACGGTACATATGCCAAAATAACATTTTTTACAATTTTTGTCTGTCTGTCTATCTGTTTGTTCCGGGTAATCTCTGGAACGGCTGGACCGATTTCGACGGGACTTTCACTGGCAGATAGCTGATGACATAAGGAGTAACTTAGGCTACTTTTTTTAGACTAGCTTCGCCCCGCGGCGTTGCCCGCGGTTATAACAACAAACGCGGGTAACACCGCGGGTTTCAGCTAGTTTCACATAAAATCGCTCGTCATGGGACCGTGTTCGGCGTAGAGATGTGAAATAAACTTACACTAGGCCCACAGGGATTTAAATTGACTGGCTCATTGGTCAAGTATTTAGTGATCTGACTACCAAACCAGTGGTAGCGGGTTCGATTCCCACTCAGGACAGTAATTGTGGAACGATTATGATCATTTCTTCTGCGTCTGGGTATAATTTACCTATGATATAGATGTTTTAGAAATATATCAGTATGTTTATTAACAGTCTGGTACCCATAATACAGACTCTGGCTAGATTGGGATTAGACGGCCATGTGTGAGATGTATCACGTTATTATTATTATTAGTGGGAATCGAATAGACGACCTCAGGCTTAACAGTTAAGATCACTAACCAATAGACCTGTCCTGACCTGACCTGTATACTTCAAGTTAAAGTCAGGTCAAGTCAAACCGTAGTAAAATAATAGGTACTATGTATACCTATAGTCTCTGTCAATTATTCTCATCTGTAACAAATGGCGGACTGAATAACTAAACGCGAAATGACAATCCGTTATGCAAATATAGATGCATTGTAAGTGTAGCAATTAGCGGCAGTCGTGCGATAATTGTTCTAACAGTCTGTTAATGTTGTTTGCGCGAGTCAGACGTTGGCGTCCAATTTGTATGTTAGTAATATACGGGGCATAAAATTATGTACGTGCACCAGTGTATGTACATAAATAATGCTATCACATTACAGGTATAATATACATTTGATTTGCCTGAAAATATTTCGACACACTACACGCAGGGCGTAGTGATTTAAGCGGGCAATTCGCCGCTTTCTACTGCGCTGAGCGTTGTGGTTTCAAGCTCCACATGGGACAAATTCTCATTCTAGGTCTGGGTATTCTTTGTGACCGTTTTATGAATGTTTGTAAAGTCTCTGGCAAGAAATAGACATATTCTTAGTGCAAGGGTAGTCTTTAAAAAGGTAAATAAAAGAAAAATGACAGTTAAAATTTCAGTGACATACTAACTACAATAGGTAATCATATTTTATAGAACTATTACAATCTGCGCGTCCATCATGATGAATTGTAATAATAACCATCATCATCAACAGCCTTAATTTATCCACTGCTGGGCATAAGGCTCTCCTTATAAAGGAGGTTTTGACCTACTTTACCACGCTGGCCAGACGGGTTGTTATAGGTTTTAAGTGTTCCTTTTCTTTGTGATGTGGTTGTCCTGCATAGTTTGCTCCCTTGGTCGACTCTTGAGAGTAGAGAGTCGAAAAGTATCATGGGATTCAAAAGATTAGAAGTTAGTAGGATGGGTCTGCAGCTGCTCTAGTGGTTGTGGTGAATAATCCTGAATGATGATTTCGTCTAAATTTTGACTGTAGTTGCCTTAATTAAAAGCAGTTCCCTCCCATGGAGCAGTAGGGCACGACGCAGCCGGGCATCAGCCGTGACTACCCGAGAGAGTATAAACACTCTAAAAAAAATATTATAGGCTAAAATTTCTTTTCGACCAACGACAATCAGTAAAAATCCGTCAAAATATCTAATTAGTATATATGTCACTAACAAAAATTTAAAAGTTATAATTAATAGTAAAAAAAATGATTTCTGTATTGTACCTTTCGTCTTTGTTCTCTCCTTGTGGTCAGTAAGAAATTAAGTAGGTATGTGAGGTCACCGAAGTTTCAGATAGAGATAGAAAGAATTTTCTTTTCAATATATAACAACGATCGTACGGGTTGGTGCCAGTGCATGAATCGAGCGAGTGCAATCGAACTCTTTATATTATTTATTTAACTCATAAATAAACACTTTTCTGAAGTACTACAATCCTACATCGTTTTAGTACGAAATGAAAGCCTTTTGCAGCTATTCAGACACATTTTATTAAAAAGAACCTTGTTTTTTTCTTAAATTAAATCATTGTCAAATATGTACAAAAACCACAGATTCCTCTGTGTGTCAAACATGTTCTAGTGTTACTCACGGTAAAAAGATCGTTACCAAGAGTTTTTTTCTCACGGAACTATAAATTTGCATGTACACTTAACACAAAGGTCCATCATTTATTATTAGACAAAATAGAAAAAGGAATTCGCGCATCGTATACTAAATAGACAAAACCTGTTTAGTGATTCAGAACGCATCATTAGCAAATAAAAAAAAAGAAAATTATATTCCACCTTTAAAAAATTTAATCTTGAGTCTTACCCCTTTAGCTTTAAATTTCATATTTCGAAGCGCACTAGTGTTGTCACCCCTTGGGTAGTGTTTTATGCAGAAAAAAGTAGCCCGCGGTGAGACGTATGCAAATTTTTGAATAATCCCATTCTTATTACAGTAAAGCATAACCCTAAGTATTATTTAAATAAAGAACATTTTTCTGAAGTATCTCCCGATAATTGATCTAGCAATTTTATACTATATTCCCAGGTATTAAAAATTATATTTCTAAGAGAACATTTTTGATATTTGCATCCTGAATTTAAGATTACATTTATCAAAATTGTGTTCTATTTCCATTAGTAAAGGATAATATTTGAATGGTGATATTATTTGGAAGAAGATAGTAATTATGATAAGTATGACGGATTAGGTAAATATCGTGATGCTCAAGAATTCGAACGATATTCGTGATTAATTATTTCCTATCTGTCAAAGTGGGAAGTGAATATTGTTCTCACAAGTGATATTTTTGCATAATGTTCCTGGGAATGTGTTTTAGAATGCACTCTGAATACTCTTTCTATCTGATGATTATGTTCAACTGAATTTTTGGGCATTTTTTATTATCATCGTTTTTGGCATCGGCGGTAACTCAAGCTGCGAAATTGTCAAAAGTGTTGTGTTATTGCCAAAATAAACATTTTCTTTTCCTTCTTTCCTTTTTATCATTGAAATGATATAAGATTATTTTTTTGCACTCCTAAAAAATCCAAAACGTTTTACAATGTTACATATTGCGCTGACCCTCAAATAGAATTGCAAGAATCGAAATCGGATGATGATGATAGAATAAACAGAATTTGTAAAATACATCATCATCATCATCAGACTATTGCCGTCTGACTCCCCCCAGGAGCGCCAACTACAAACAATGTCGTGTCGTGACGTGAAACGTAGAGATTAAACGTCAAACCTTATCTAATAAAGCGCATCAAACGTCAAACCTGCTTTTATTGAATCAAACTACACTTTCCGATTTTTTTCTTTTCACTAATCGTAAATATCAAAGCACGCAAATTTGAACACCGTTACGCGCGAACGCCCACGAACGCTCACACGCGAGTGTGTTCATCGTTTTAACTTGCGTATGAATTATAAACGTTTAGATTAAACTGTGGATTGTAAGTATACTTTCAGTATATAATTTACTGGTATTAAAGCGCTTACGATTGGTATTAAGTACAAACATAAAGGTAGGCTGGTTAGTGTCAGTCTGTGACCACGGCCAGCGCAACCTGAAGGCCAATTTTCGTAATAAAAGTTCGGTCTCAATTCAGTTCGGATCAACTTTAAATCTCACAACTGTCATAAAAGGTATTTGCGTATTTAATTATTAAACATCCAACGATGACTGAAATGTGATTCGTATTGTAACGGAAAATTGAATCGGTAACCTGCTGGTAATACTATACTATTTTATTTCTAAAATTGCTCTTATGACATTTGTGAGATCTAAAGTTGATCGGAACTGAATTGAGACCGAACTCTTAAACCACTACTCCATCCGTGCAGTCAAATGTGGTTCCACCATGTTTGATCCACCAATATTGTTGCTTAATCGCAGTCTGTTATCATGTTTGTAACTATTATCTTAGTACCCTGCGTCCAGCTGTGTTCCCTGTGGTTGTTGTTGTAGCCTGTTCATCCAACGGGCACACTACATTCTATCACCATAAAAAGTGCCTATGTGCTATTCCAGATTATAATCTATGTCTGTGCCAAATTTTATCCCGATTCGTTCAGCCATTTTTGCGTGAAAACAACAATCAAACAAATATCTATACAAATTTTCGTCTTTATAATAATAGGTCTTTACCTATGAAATTGCCGTTTTGTATGCAATAAGTGAAAGTACTTATTTTTTCAAACTTTTTTATTTCTGTTATTCGAAGTAATCACCCATGCAATCGACGCATCTTTGCCAACGCATTGGCAGTTCATTGATGTCCTTCTTGTAAAAATCAGCTGGACGGGAGGCAACAAACTCTTCAAAGGCATTTTGTACTGCCTCTCGGGAATTGAATTTTTTACCCACTAAAAATTTGTCTAAATTTTGGAAAAAGTAATAGTCGGTAGGTGCAAGGTCTGGTCAAGGTATTAAAAAAATAAATTATCAACAGAAAATGACATAATTCTTTTAAATAAAAA